CGCTTGTTGCATTAATTCTTAAAAATCATATATTAATTTTAGAATGGAAAACATAAATAAAAATGTAAATTTTGGTATTTTACATTATATTGAAATATGCTCTTAGTATTTTGTATTTTTAATAATATTAAAACAGTATTTTAATCTTTTTAAAAATATCTTTTTGATACCTTAAAACTAATTTTTAGGACATGTAATGTCTAAATTACTTTTCTTATCAGTTAAATAAAAATCAATATCTATTATATATAATAAATGTGATGAAGCAAGCACGTGTCAACTAATTTTTATCTCTTTATAGTACCCTTAACTATTTATATTTTTTACTTATTTGTTATCTATTATTTTCTCTTACTTATGGCTTAAAAAGCGGTTTAATTTGTGTTTCTCTTTATGCCCTTCACCTTTTGCACTTTTTACTTACTTAATATCTACTATTTCTCATACTTAAGGCTTAAGAAAAACCCGATTTAATTTGTGTTTTCATTTATGTCCTTCACCTTTCATATTTTTTTACTTATTTGTTATCTACTATTTTCTCTTACTTAGGGCTTAAGAAAAAAAAAAACGGTTTAATTTGTGTTTCCATTTATGTTATTTACCTTTTGTACTTTTTATTTACATGTTTTGTACTAGTTTTGTGTTTCTATTTATGCCCTTATCAATTTTTGTATTTTTAATCTACTTGTTATCTATTTATGCCCTTATCAATTTTTGTATTTTTAATCTACTTGTTATCTATTGTTTTCTCTTACTTAAGTCTTAAGAAAAAATGGTTTATTTTGTGTTTCCTTCTATGTTCTTCACTTTTTGTACTTTTTACTTATTTGTTATCTACTGTTTTCTCTTACTTAGAGCTTAAAAAAAGTGGTCAAATTAAATAATATTTGAATTACGTTATGAACATGGCTTCCGAATCTACAAAACTCACCCCATCAAAATAAGCTATGCGGTCTAAATGTTAAGAAATATAATAGAGTATGGCGATTAGTTAGAACTTATTTGTTTACATCATAAAATTATTTTTCTAATAGACAATAAATATAACAGTTAAATTCATGCAATTGCACGTGCCTACTTTTACTAGTTTCTTAAAAAAATGAAAATATTTTAAGACATTAAAATATTTAAAGGAAAATAATAAAATAAAGGGTACGTGATTTTTTTTCTAGAGTTATTAGATTTTGATTAAGTAAAAGAGTACTAAGGTCATTTTACATCTTAAAAATCAACTTCAGAGTACCAAGAATATGTTTTTAAAAACGTTGAGGTATCATTTTAATATTATCAAGAACACAAGATACTAAAAGCATATTTCGCTATATACATTGTCGCTTACATTCATTAACATGAAATATAACAAATCAATAAATATACATATTTTTATGTTATATGTTCACTTAATTGCTATAAAAAATACATGTTTTGAGGATTAATATACGTTATCATTTCTTATAACTTAATATATACATCTTTATATGTAAATATACACACCTTACATATAAATATACACTAAAATAGTAAAATTATACATCTACCGTTTTAATCTGGCAAACAGTAACAGTCGGATTAAAGACCTTGCCTAAAATTTTTAATTTTTTATATAATATAATAGTATTTTTCGTTTAACGAGAAAAGACGTAAAAATAATAATAAATAAAAAAAGGAAGCAGCAATAACTAAACATCTTTATGGCATTTATAAAGATTTGCACGCTTTCCCAAGTACATGAAAATTTCTGTGCTCCAGTCCTATTACGAACGTTCCCATGCACAAGAGAAAACCAACAGTATATTCTCACCTTTTTTAAAAAAGAAAATTTTCATTCAAAAGATAACAAATTACACACTTAAAATTAGAGCCGGTAATATGGGTCACGATACGACGACACAACTTAAAAATGATACGAATTTTACGGGTTAGGGTTGAGAAAAAAGATATTCGAGTCAGAATCGGGTCGACCTAAAATTGACACGAAAAACACGGGTCAATTTCGGATTGGACCCGCCTAACCCGAACACGACACGAAACTCGTAAAAAACTAAAAAATACATATATTTTTCATTTCATATTTTAAATTTTATTATGAACTTGTGATATCATGATAGTTATACTCAAAATCTTATACTATTATTTGCTTAATTTCAATGGATGTTATTGTAATTTAGTGTGTTATGAATTTTAAGTTATTTCTAATATGTAAAAAACTAAATAAAAGTATATAATTTTCGTGTCAATTTCGGGTTCACGGGTCATTTTTGGGTCGTGTCGTGTCAACTCGTAAAGTGGTCGTGTCGTGTTCGTGTTGCGGTTTTTAAAAAATTTCGTGTCACGGGTCGTGTTCGGATTGACTGCAAATTTTAAAAAAATGATCAAAACACGACACGTGACACGAATTGTCATCCCTACTTAAAATAGTCACAAATGATCACCAATTGTAAAAAAATTCGATCCTAAATATAAATTAGATCCACCAATAAAGGAAATAAAGTATAGAGACAAACACAAATATCAAAACTTAATAAAAAAAATACCCGCTTGACATAAATAAAATTGAATGTCACTGAAACTCGTTAGAAATAACCACCATAATTAATAGGATAAAATCTAATTGAGGAAACAAGCGACATTACCTAAAACCAAATCTAATTATATATCAACATACACCGTCGATAACCAATTCAAATGAATGATACACAAACAAAAACAAAACGTGGAGAAACTGTCTCCATTATTATGACAGATGAACAAAGCGTCTATTCTCAGGTAATTTTTTTTTTCTTTTTTCTCTCTCTAGAACTACAATTTCTCCATCCAATAATATAAATGTAACTATAACTCAACTACTCGTATTTGAATTAGAAATATAAAAACAAAAAACTCAACTACTTTACCAGAGAGAAATAAATGAATACGATGCATTGTTAGGCAACTACTTAGCCACGTATATGTGCTAATTAAAGACGATATGGCAGTGTACATTTTCACCATCACTAGATATATCGATCTCATTGAAAGTGGGACCCTTCAGCGGTTTATGAGGAATAGGCTATGATAGTTTTAGTTATAAGGCAGGAGAAAGACAGAAATAGGTTAAGATTTGAGATGAATTAAAATTAATAAGTCAATAATTTATATAAGTTAATAAATAGACTAAATTACTGTTTTTGTCTATAACTTGTCTGGTTATGAACCATAACTTGACAAGTTATTATCCATAAATCACAGTTTTTGTCCATAACTTGTCTGGCTATGAACCATAACTTGACAAATTTGTCCATAACTTATCTGATTATGAACCATAACTTGACAAGTTATGGCCTATTAATTTCTATAACTAAAAATTAGCATATATACTTCCTTAAACTTTTTATATTGGCATATTTTCTACTATTTCCCCAAAAGTAACGTATTGGAAACCCATTAGTTTGTACATTTTCTTTTTATATTATTAGCAAAAAAAAAAAAAGAAAACGCGAGTACCTTGAGGGTCCAAGTGTTAAGTTCCTTTTTCGTATCTCTCTCTGCCTATTACATTAAGTTTTGATACATCATCGTAGTTGGTTAGAATTTTAGGGCATTGCCAAGTGAATTGTGCGTGAAATAGATGTTATATATATATATATATATAAAGAAAGATCAAGATAAGAAGAAATTGATCAAATTTGCCTACTCTAGATAAGATGGACCAAATTTGCTATTCATTTTCCTATCTTTCTCTCTGGCTGTTACATTGGTTAGAATTTTGGGCAGTTAAGTGAATTGTGGATGAAGTAGATGTTCATTATTATTATTATTATTATTATTATTATTATATGGACACACACACCATATAGAAAAAGAGAGAGCAAGATAAGAAAATTGGAGCAAATTTGCCTGTTATAAGATGGACCGAAGATATTGCTACGTGACAAGTTCTTTTTTCTTTTGGCATGAATTAAGTAAAAAACTTGGACATGATGCAATTGTTTATTGAACTCCTTCGTCTCTTTCTTTCAACTATTTTTATCTTTCAGATGAAGTAAACTTTACAATAGAATCGAATTAATTTTTTTTTTAAAAAAATTAGTGTCAAAAATTATATAAATATCCATACAGTAGTATAGTTAATTTTTTTAATTTATTCGGGATTTTAATTACGTTTCAATAATGTGTATACATAAAAATACATGGTATAACTATTTTTACAAAAAATAATAATAATTAGATAGTGTACTTATAAAATAATAAGTTGGAATAATTAAGGAAAAAATGTAAATTATATCCTATTATTTAGTTTCTTTAAATTCCGCATGCTTTTTTATTTTTATTTTTGAAAGAGTATAACCTTTTATTTTAATATATAACTATACTATATTGTTCATTGTATAATAAATAAGGATATAATTCCTTTCCATATGAAAAGACAATGACTTTCTATGGAAAAATATCGATTGATAAAATATCCAATGGATATTGTACAATTATATAGAATCAAAATATTTATAGTTCTTTTACATTTTTCACACTTTATATTTTTTATTTTGAGAAAATTATTGAAATTATCCTTAAAGTACATGGTTTTAGATTTGTATCTCTTACTCTTAATTAATACTTGTATTAAAGGAGTACACTTCTTTAAAAAATAAAAATAAAAAAATAAAAAATAAAAAAACTTGTAGGGGTATACTTTGATATTTAAATAATTAGTATTGTATTCTATTGTTTCGTGCATGTATAGTAAACAAGCATGAAAATCATTGCCATCCTTCCATATGATCAACAGATCAAGAGACAATAAAATAAATTGTTCCATAAAAAAAATAAAAAATAAAAAGAGGGTAAAATATGAATTGACTAGCGTTAATAATATAAATTGTTCCATCAAAAAATAAAAAATAAAAAGAGAGGCAAAATATGAATTGACTAGCGTTTCACAAATTTATTGCAACGCTGTCCTATCAAATTGAAGTCGAAAACTCCTCTACTAGTACCACATGCACTAGCCACCTCTCCTTCATGCATTAATGGCTGATCACGACCACGACCAGGACCACGATCACGATCTCTCCTCCGTTCTTCACTCCACAAGCAGCCGCCGGAGCTGCCGGAGCTTGCCTTCCTCTATAGTCTCCGGCGGCAGCTTTCGGGAGCTATGGACCGCGCCTTCCGACGTGTTCAGCCAGAGCGCACGGCGCGACTACGACGACGAGGACCGGCTCCGCTGGGCGGCAATCGAGCGGCTTCCGACGTTCGAGCGGTTAAGGAAAGGGATGGTCACGCAGGTTGTCGACGGCGGTCGAGTAGTTCGCAGCGAGATCGATGTCTCGAAGCTCCGGACGACGGAGAAGAAGATGATCATCGACAGTTTTCTCAAGCTCGTTGAAGAAGATAACGAGAAGTTTCTTCTCAAACTTAGGGAGAGAACTAATAGGTTTATAATAATATTATCATTAGTGTTTTACTAATTGATATTTTAAGAACATAATTTGACTTTAATTATGCTGTTTTGTTGTTAATTAATTAATCAGAGCGGGAATTGAGATTCCGAAGATCGAAATTCGGTATGAGAGTTTGTGTGTTGAAGGAGACGCATATGTTGGGAGCAGAGCACTTCCTACTCTGCTTAATGTTACTTTGAACACCATTGAGGTAATTATTATTATTATTATTATTATTATTATTATTATTCTTATTATTATTGCCTTAATTTCTGATGGAGAAGCATACTTGAACTTAGCCATCCTCGAAAAAGTGTTTGAGCCCGTCCCTTGGGTTCGCCGTGACTGCTTGAAGTAATAGTGTGAACGAGTAATGTTTGAGGTGGATTCTCGGGTCTAGTTTTAAATGGTTTTTTTAAAAGATTTAATTGTTGCAACTTTGCCTTAATTTCTGATGGAGAAGCATACTTGAACTTAGCCATCCTCGAAAAAGTGTTTGAGCCCGTCCCTTGGGTTCGCCGTGACTGCTTGAAGTAATAGTGTGAACGAGTAATGTTTGAGGTGGATTCTCGGGTCTAGTTTTAAATGGTTTTTTTAAAAGATTTAATTGTTGCAACTTTTTAGATGAATGGTTGCATCATTTCTACATTAATTTCTGCGTGTTTTTTCTATCTTCTAATTAGGATTTGATTATGACACAGTTCTTCTAAAGATTCAAGAGTACTACTGAAGTTATTTAGTATTTTCCTGAAGAGTACTACTTAAGTTTTTTTTTTTTTTTTTTTTTTTTTTTTTTTTTTTTTTTTCTGATGGTGGTCAACTTTATCTGATTGAGCAAATTGGTTCGGAAATGTTTTTTCCTTCTTTGATTTGGGTCAAATTTGGTTTGTTAAATTTGTAACTATTTTTGGAGTGTTTAGAGTATTCTGGGGTTGGTTCGGCTTACTCCATCAAAGAAGAGAAAAATCCAGATACTTCAAAATGTCAGCGGAGTTGTCAAACCCTCTAGGTACGTCTCTGAAATTAATTATGTAAAACATCCAAATTTTGTAAATATATCTTCTATGTATATTTGGTGAAAGTCGTTTTCTTAAATTCCAACGTGTACAAACTAAATTAACCTCACTTTTTAAGCAAATTCTCCTGCTTTCTTGTTGATTAAGTAAAACAGCCAACATTTGTAAATATATCTTCCATGTGTATTTGTTTTACCTATATTTTTCTCTTATTTACTTGTATATAAATTGAAGTTAGTAATTTTCAGGATGACGTTACTTCTGGGCCCTCCATCTGCAGGGAAAACAACCTTGCTTTTGGCACTTGCAGGAAAGCTTGATCATGATTTAAGGGTTTGTTTCCCATTTTATTGTAAATTTTGCTTGTTTGTTTCTCAATTTGCATATCGGACAGTTCTATGATTGGATATGAAAAAATATCCTATTAATAAGACACAATTTTCAGAATCATATCAGATCAAGAAATTAAGTAGGACGATTTATTAAAACTTAATAAAAAATTGACGGTTCGGAATTATAATATACCTTTAAAGTATCGTTTCAAATCCCATTATAGAACTCTCATTGCACATACAATCTGTTCATTAAAAAAAAAAAAAAAAGAAGTAAGAGAAATGTTATATAAATCAAGTCATGTGTTGGTAATTCGTTGGTTCTGAAATTATGATGTGAATTTATAATTAGTTAAAAATTAGATGTTATCATCACAAGAAGTTGATTAAAGACTTGATATTGTAATTCAGGTATCTGGGAAAGTGACTTATTGTGGTCATGAACTGAATGAATTTGTTCCTCAAAGAACATGTGCTTATGTTAGTCAGCATGATCTGCACTATGGAGAGATGACAGTGAGAGAGACGTTGGATTTCTCGGGACGTTGTTTAGGCGTCGGCACTAAGTACGAAACCTTAGCCGAGCTCTCGAGAAGAGAGAAAGAAACAGGAATTAAGCCAGACCCTGAGATTGATGCATTCATGAAGGCTGCGGCAATGTCAGGCCAAGAAACTAGTGTGATCACTGATTATGTTCTCAAGGTAAGCTGGTCTTTCTCTTTTGAACAATCTCAGTGGAGGGAAATTTATGAAGTACGTCTATATTATAATTTATCATAGTCTTTTACAAAAGAATTTTATGGCTTCTTATAAAGAATGGTGACAGATACTTGGATTGGATATTTGCGCGGACATTTTGGTTGGTGATGAGATGAGAAGGGGTATTTCTGGTGGGCAGAAAAAACGTTTGACAATAGGTATGTTGTTTTCACTACAAGTTCCATTTATTGATAAACAAAACTGTATGTCATAAATTCTTGTTGATTGTATGGAGCCTAATTGTTGCCCTGATGTAAAGTCAACATACAATATTTTAGACTTAGATTGGAGGCGTCGTTTTTAGGATTAGAAATAGAGAGATGAACACAAAAGGTTTGAGAGGCATTGTTGTGTGATTTTTCATGCAATTCTCTCCTTTATTATGGTGAAATTCTTTAGTGCTTGAAAGTGGACATAGCTATGACATTAAGGGTGAATCATTATAAGTACTATGTATTCTTATTTTATCGTGTTTTTTTTATTGTATTGCTCTTGTTAGTAAGAGGATATTTGTTTCATGTATTCATTCTTGATTCTGAATCATGATTTATGATTATTTACAGTGTTTTTCTCTCACAAAAAACACATATAAAATGAGAATAATTTTAAATCGTGATTCTGAATCCTTGATTCATAGCTCTTTACAGTATTTTTCTCTCACAAAAAAACACATATAAAATGAGAATGATTCTGAATCCATGAACTAAATGTCCACTAAAAGACTGGGCGTCTAATTCTTAACCGTTCCTATAGAAAAAGTTCGTGCCTTTTCATGTAAGGACGTATTCATGTATTTCTTGTGATTTGCTACTATAATGTCTCTTTGCAGGGGAGATGTTGGTAGGACCAGCTAAGGTTCTTTTAATGGATGAAATATCGAACGGATTGGACAGTGCCACCACTTTTCAGATTTGCAACTACATGAGACAAATGACTCACATTTCAGACGTCACAATGGTTGTCTCTCTGCTACAGCCAGCACCAGAGACATACGAGCTTTTCGACGACATTATCCTACTTTCAGAAGGCCAGATTGTGTACCAAGGTCCGCGAGAGAATGTACTCGAGTTTTTCGAGTACATGGGCTTCAAATGTCCAGAGAGGAAAGGAGTTGCCGACTTTCTTCAAGAAGTAACTTCCAAGAAAGACCAAGAACAATATTGGTCCAAGAAGGACCAGCCTTACACATACATTTCAGTTCCCGAATTTGTCAATGGCTTCAAGTCTTTCCACATTGGCCAAAGACTTGACACCGATCTTAAGATTCCGTACGACAAATCCAGTGTCCACCCATCTGCATTGGTGAAGAACAAGTATGGAATTTCGAATACGGAGCTGTTGAAAGCATGCTTTTCAAGGGAGTGGCTGCTGATGAAGCGCAATTCTTTTGTCTATGTCTTCAAGAGTACTCAAATAATAATCATGTCGATAATCACCTTCACTGTGTTCCTTAGGACGGAAATGCAAGTGGGCACTTTGCAAGATGGAGGCAAATTTTATGGAGCACTCTTTTTCGGTGTGATTAATGTTATGTTCAATGGGATGGCAGAAATGGCACTGACAGTTTTCAAGCTTCCTGTGTTCTATAAACAGAGGGATTTCCTGTTTTTTCCTGCTTGGGCTTTTGGCTTACCTGTTTGTATTCTGAAAATTCCCCTATCCTTTTTGGAATCAGGGATATGGGTTATTCTAACATACTACACAATTGGCTTTGCTCCGGCTGCTAGCAGGTACATAAGGTTAAATCTTTTATTAGCAAAAAGAAAAAAAGGTTAATTTTCTTGATTTTTCTTGTTGTAACCTTTTTTTTTTTTTTTTGGCTGAAATTTTGAACAATTATACATATTTATCATTGTTGATTAAAATGATTGTGTACATGTGTATTTTTGCTTATATATTTTGTTTTTCCCTTTGCTACAGATTTTTCAAACAATTCTTGGCTTTCTTTGGCTTGCATCAGATGGCTCTGTCCTACTTCCGGCTTATAGCTGCACTAGGAAGAACACTAGTCCTCGCTAATATGTTGGGTACCTTTGCCATGTTGATGGTTTTTGTGCTAGGGGGATTTGTAATTTCCAAAAGTAAGTATTTCTTTACGGAACATTCTAATGTAGGGAATACTTATCAGGACTTGCGTATTTTTAAACGTCATATCATGTCAGAATCAAACAGGTGAAAAATAGATATACCTAATAGAATCTAATTAAAATTCCGCGCTTCAAATAGTTTCCCCGTTTATAACATCTTTTTCATAATCCTAGGGGTTAAATCAAGTTGGAACATGGTACTATACGCAAAGGCACACACATTCTATTTCTCATACTTTATGTATTCGTCTGGTTTTTTCTAAGTCTTTTATACTGTGTTGTAGATGACCTTGAGAAATGGATGTTATGGGGATACTATGCTTCTCCTATGATGTACGCACAGAATGCAATATTCATGAATGAATTCCTTGATAAAAGATGGAATACGGTAAGGATGAGTTTGGTGGTCATATTTGGTGATGTCCATTGTACTTTAGAAAAATTACATGCACAGTATGCAAGGATGTGTTTTTCTTAAATACAAAGTTGAATTAGGATTTTTAGTCATTCTTGGAATGAAAGCCATCATTAGAGTTCTAACAAGTTCCATACTCGTTACAGCCAATTTCTTTTTTCGAAGTTAACGGACCTACAGTCGGGAAAGTCCTCCTTGAGTCTAGAGGGTACTTCACTCATGAATATTGGTATTGGATTTGTATCGGGGCACTTTTCGGGTTTTCTCTTCTCTTCAACATTTTGTTTATTGCAGCATTGGCCTATATGAACCGTGAGTCATCTCTTCTTGGTCTTACTCAAGTCTTTCATTCATTGGAAACAATGTTCTGGAGTTGACAAATCTCACATTTTTTTGTATGAAAATAATTATCAGCTATTGGAGATTCCAAAGCTGTCATTCTAGATGAAGTAAGTGAAGAAGCGAAAGAGAAGCCATCGTCCAGCGAACAAACATTTGAAGGTTTAAGCTTTCATTTCTTCCCTTCATTTTATGTACTCAACTTTTCCAAGATTAATAACATATCTAATCTTATTTCTAGTACCAAAACAATCAGTTCTATTTCTCTTTGGCCCAGTTTGGGATTGTTGTGCTTTATGCTTAAAGTAAAAGCATAAATAGAAGCAGAATCTAAAAACTACAGATTCCAACTTCTGAAAATACTTAAAAAGTGTATTAGTTTTTGTACAAATTGTTTTTACACGCTTTTTCAAAATATATATGTAACTTCATATCAAAGATCTACAGGTATTGATATGCTAGTGAAGGATTCCAACTTCTGAAAATACTTAAAAAGTGTATTAGTTTTTGTACAAATTGTTTTTACACGCTTTTTCAAAAAATATATGTAACTTCATATCAAAGATCTACAGGTATTGATATGCTAGTGAAAGGTTCTTCAGAGAATAATAGATCTTCTGAGCATGCACCAAGAAGAGGAATGGTTTTGCCCTTTGAACCTCTTTCACTTGCATTTAACCATGTGAACTACTACGTGGATATGCCTTCTGTAAGTGTTTCGTACTTGTTCAGTCAATTTTTTATTTTCTTTTTGAACATTGTTTTATTTGAAGCAAAGATTGAGGGAAAAAATTTGGTATTTTTTCTACCAGGAAATGAAGAGACGTGGAATAGAAGAAGACCGCCTTCAACTGCTACGTGATGTCAGCGGTAGTTTCAGACCAGGGATATTGACAGCATTAGTCGGTGTCACTGGTGCTGGGAAGACAACACTTATGGATGTCTTGGCAGGAAGAAAGACCGGCGGTTATATCGAGGGAAGCATTACCGTCTCTGGCTATCCAAAGAACCAAACAACATTTACTAGGGTCAGTGGCTATTGTGAGCAAAATGACATTCATTCACCAAATGTCACTGTCTATGAATCCCTTCTCTATTCGGCATGGCTTCGGCTTTCTTCGGATGTGAAGACAAAAACGCGAAAGGTAAGCTAAAGGGTCCTCTATAATCATCCTAATTTCTAAATGAATGATCGTATATATGATACTTGCCTAATTGTGGAACAGATGTTTGTTGAAGAAGTCATGAAACTTGTTGAACTAAACCCAATTAGAGATGCTCTAGTGGGGCTTCCAGGTGTAGATGGTCTTTCAACAGAACAAAGGAAAAGACTAACAATAGCTGTGGAGTTAGTTGCTAATCCATCGATCATCTTCATGGATGAACCAACATCCGGTCTCGATGCCAGAGCTGCTGCCATTGTCATGCGTACCGTGAGAAACACCGTTGATACGGGAAGAACCGTTGTGTGCACAATTCACCAGCCAAGCATTGATATTTTTGAAGCTTTTGATGAGGTGTGAGTAAATTTCAGTATCTTTTCCTCGAGCTTCATTAATTCGATTTCCATATTATGCATCAATTCCTTGCATATTATCTCAACTCATTTTGCTGCAGTTGATACTAATGAAACTAGGTGGACAATTGGTTTATGCCGGACCTCTTGGTCACAATTCGCACAAGCTCACAGAATACTTGGAAGTGAGTATTTATCTTGTGAATCTGTTTTAATGTTTCCTTCTTTTTAAATCACAAATGGGGAAGATTGAAAAAATTATAACTAAAATTTGGGGTTAGTAATGCGTTTTCCTGTTCAGACTTCTTTGAACTTCCTAATATATGTTTGAACTTTGCAATGCAGGGAATTCCAGGAGTTCCTAAGATTAAGGATGGTTACAATCCTGCAACATGGATGCTTGAGGTCACTGCTCCTTCAGTTGAGGCTCAACTTGGTGTCGATTTTGCAGAAATTTATACCAAGTCTTCTCTTTACCAGTAAGTTTGACTTTGTCAAGATTATAGTACTCTTTTATGACCTTGGATCTCTAGTTTGATATGTTAGGAATTAAAATCCTAATTTCTACTTTTCAAGAGCAATAACAAAAATGAGAAGAAAGACAAAAATAAATAGAACACACGCATAGGATTTAAAATGGTTCACTTTTCATGTGAGAGCTGCGTCCACTTATCGCTGCAGAAATTGGTTGTCGTAAAGTCCCTTATATATCACGAGAATTAGGACAAACTAATACACAGGTCAAACCATAATTACGCTCCACGATACTCAAACATCATGATTTTCGTCGTCCCACTTTTCAGGAAGAATCAGGAGCTTATCAAAGAGCTCAGTACTCCGGCACCGGAGACCACGGACCTGTTCTTTCCTACCAAGTACTCCCAACCATTTCTCGTCCAGTGCAAAGCTTGTTTCTGGAAACAGCATTGGTCTTACTGGAGAAACCCTAAATACAATGGCGTCCGGTTCTTCATAACCATAATCATTGCTGTGCTATTTGGTCTTATCTACTGGAACAAGGGACAAAAAACGTAAGTATTTAGCTTCAACCCAGTAATTGATCGTATGTTCTGGAACAAAGGACAAGAGTTTAAATTGAATTATGTCATAACAGGGGCACAGTACGAGAGCTGATGAATCTTTTGGGAGCCATTTTTACTGCTGTGTTCTTCCTTGGAGCCAGCAATGGCTCTGCAGTGCAGCCTATTGTGGACATCGAGAGAACGGTTTTCTACCGCGAGAGAGCCGCGGGAATGTATTCAACACTGCCTTATGCATGTGCTCAGGTAAATAATAAAGATGCACTCACTTTATGAGATTAGTCCCACGGTACTGGGTTGTAACTAAACTAATAAAAAGGGGTAAATAACGATATACAGAATTTTAGGGTGGCAAAATACAAATTTTATAAAATTTCATATAAAAATTTAAAAGAGAAAAAAAAAAGTTCAGGTGGAGCGGCCACCCAGCCTCGTTCATGGGTTGTTCCGCTCCTGGTAAAAAACCCTTATAGTTTTGATATGTTTTGCTATGTTTTGATTCTATTTGTATTTCTATGATTTGGCAGGTGGCCATAGAGATAGTCTATTCAGCAACTCAATGCTTGGTTTACACTATTATCCTCTACTCTATGATTGGATTTGAGTGGAACATAGGGAAAATATTCTGGTTCTACTATTATGTTTTAATGTGCCTAGTCTACTTCACAGCTTATGGGATGATGGGAGTGGCATTGACTCCCGGCCACCAAATTGGTGCCATTTTCATGTACTTCTTTTGCTGCTTCTGGGTCTTGTTCTGTGGTTTTATTCTCCCTAGAGAGGTACAATACTACATTCACTTAACCTCATTTTACTTCCTAAAACTTTTGACTCTCTCTTTGCATTAAAAAAAATGGAAAGTTTTTTTATGCTTTCGCTTCTGAACTTCAAATGAATTATCAAGTTGCCCTTGAACTTTCAGTTAAGGTAAATTACCCTCTTGAATTTAATAAAATGTTGCTAAGTGCCCAAAGCAATGCATGATGTCAAAATTTGAAAGGAGACGTGCTTTGATCGTCATCTAAAATTCCAATCTCTTCCTTCATATCAGCTCACATAATATGTACGACGTTGTTTCCACCTAACATTTGTCTAAATTTTCATAGTCGTTATCGATTTAGGGGCACTCTGCAATACTTTATTAAATTCGGAAATAATAACTCACATAATATGTACGACGTTGTTTCCACTTAACATTTGTCTAAATTTTCATAGTCATTATCGATTTAGGGGCACTCTGCAATACTTTATTAAATTCGGAAATAATATGTTAAATTAAAAGCGTAGAAAGTAACTTGTCGATCTGAACAGATATGCCAGACACCCTTTTAACCTTGCAACCTTTGTTTGTAAATTGTTGCAGCAAATTCCAATCTGGTGGAGATGGTACTACTGGGCTTCTCCTGTGTCTTGGACAATACATGGCGTAGTGGCATCTCAACTGGGTGACAAACATACTAATGTGGAGATACCTGGGCTTGGCACTAGTATTCCATTGAACAAGTTTATCAAGGAACAATTGAATTTTGACTATGACTTCCTTCCTATAGTGGCTTTGGTAAATATTGGTTGGGTCTTGCTCTTCCTCTTTGTCTTTGCTTACGGCATCAAGTTCTTCAACTTCCAGAAGAGATAGCCTAACTTCTCACCTTTCCAATGTGCAATTGATCAATAATGTGGGAAACAAAGAGTTTCCTTGTTTAATAATATTTTCATTGTGTCCTAAATTATTGTATTGGTATTCTCAGTCTTGTACACCAACAAAATGCTACTTGTTGATTTGTGATAAGATTCACTTTGTCATAAGTTTAAGGCCTTTTTTTTTTTTTTTACCTTCTCTCTTATAGAAGAAAAACTTGAGGATTGTTACTTGTATTTTTAATAATATTAAAAGGTATCTTGACGTTTTAAAAACTATCACTATAAATCTGTTTTTCAGATATGAAATGACTTTTATACTAATTTTTCTTCTTTTTAAATTATCAAAGATTAGAGAAAAAAAATTGAAAGGATCCTTGGGTTAACATATACTAAATTTAGACTATTTAAAGATAGATAGAAAGAACATTTCAATTTTCATGTTCAGAAAAATCGACTTTAGGGTATGGAAATAGTGTTTTATTAAAGTGCAAGAGTATATTATAATATTATTTATCAAAGTGTTTTTTTTCTTTTGAAAAATACATGGCATTAAAGTGATCTCTTTTCTAAAGAAAAAAAAATGGTCATAAAAGGACTCCGGGAATATCCTTACAAACTCCTCTCTAAAATATATCGGTTTTTAAATCAATTGCACTGTGATTTAACAAATTATTTCTTAAATTTTTAATTTTGACAATCAACTGTCTAAATTTATAAAATTATTATAATTTTTTTATTTTATTAAATTTGCTCAAATTTTTATTAGATTTAAGATATTAAAAGTTAAAAAATTAAAAAATTTATGTTACATTTAAATTGAGATGTTAAAATTTTTCATCAAATATATTTTTATAATATTAATTTAACATAATTATCTTTAAAATGAGTCGTATTGTAATAATTTTATGACAACTTATTAAAATTAAAAATTCAAGAGGGTTTTGTGTAAAATATCTAAAAACAACGACTATACCGAATACCCATCCATTACATCACCTACGCCATTTCTGAAACCAACAGAGAAGTTCGAAAAAAGAAATGTCAGAAAAAGATCCATCACAAACAACAAAACCGAGAGTCGTGTGCTGCATCGGCGACATCCATGGCTTCGACACCAAGCTCCGAAACCTCTGGTCCAACCTCGAGTCCCAAATCGGCGACCCCGCTTTCCAAACCGCCACCGTCATCTTCCTCGGCGACTACTGCGACCGCGGCCCCAACACCCGCCAAGTCCTCGACTTCCTTGTATCGCTACCCTCGAAATACCCGCACCAAAAGCACGTCTTCCTGTCGGGAAACCACGACCTCGCCTTCGCGGCGTTTCTACTTGCCAAAATTAAAAGTTTAGGAGCCAAATTGCTAAAACCATACAAGTTCATGAGGCAAATGTGTAAAATATCCTATTTAAAAACTATCCCCTATTTCTGTGATTCTTTTCATGCTTTTCTTTTGCTCTTCCACGTGTAATAAAGGTTGTGTTTTTCTGCTACTACTCTGTCTCAGATGCGTGTGGTTCTTAGTTTTTTGGTTTGTATGGGTCATTCAATGTGTTCTGCAAGCACTGGTTACTCTCATTAAGGTTTTGTGTTCATTTCTATCACCTTCAGCTATTCAAATGGAAGTTGTAATCTGGCTTCTTGGTTTTTGAGAATCTTCATCAAAATACAAAGATTTTAACTTTTTTTCTGCTGATCTAGTTTAGTTCAACCACAGTTTGTGCTTTTCATCATTATTTTGGCGCTATGAATATCTCGTGTCAAATACTGAATTCAACGTACAATTTTGTGGACAGATTTGGTTAAGGCTGTTCCCGATGAACACAAGAAGTTTCTTGCTGATATGGTTTGGGTCCACGAAGAGGTCAGACTTGTTTTCTTGTTTACTTTAGTAACACCGATAATCCCTTAAATAGATTTCTCGTACAGATTGCGTGGGAAGAAAATTTCCCACCTTCCTGTTCTGTTTTGTCACAAAATGTGCGAAGCCGAATGCAAGTAGACGAGAACTATAAGAATTGAAAATATTTGTTGAAGAGTAGTGGGTCCTGATGATATGCATATTTTATCTAGGATGATATCTGCATAGAGACCGAGGATGGGATCAAGCACTGTAGATTGATAGCAGTTCATGCTGGTTTGGAGAGAGACAAAGATGTCAAGGAGCAGTTGAAGCTTTTGAAAGACAGGGACACCCGTATTCCGAAGGTTGAGGCTCTGAGTGGCAGAAAAAATGTTTGGGATATCCCAAAGGTAATGGCATTCTCGTTATTGTACTTGGGGCTAGAACTCACAAGTGCTAGGCCTTACATGTGAGCCCCAAATGCGGGACCCACTGACTGTGACTAGTGATGCTCGACACCCAGCATTGATGCGAATGACATTCCTTGATTCTTGATTTAGCTTAACTTTGTCATGTAAATTTTCCATTTTAACTTTTTTTCTCATGCCAAGGCTTGCAAGCAAAGTCTGGATTTTGGTATTAAACTCATTTTTGCATCTTATAGGAACTAAGACAGACTCCGACTATTTTGGTAAGCGGTCACCACGCAAAGCTTCATGTCGAAGGGCTTAGGCTGGTCATTGATGAAGGTGGCGGATACGCGCATAAGCCTGTGGCTGCGATTGTTCTCCCCTCGATGAAAATAGTACGTGATACTGATGATCTTTCCAAATAACTTCCAAGTTTTGGAGTGCATTGTTATAATGATAGTATCTTTTTCCTCGGTTCCTGAATTTAGCAAAAAGCAAACGAGTAACACAAAGAATAATGGTTCGGTTCCTCTGTTATAGGATAATGATGAGAAATAAGTCGGTTTTGTTTTGTAGAAGGTTGCTGGCTGCTGACTTGTTTCAGTTACATAGTGAATAGTGACTAGCAATAAGATTGCTATAATGATTATTCTAAAGTGGCGTGAATGTTATTGTGAATATACATACAAGCACTGAGATTTTTTCCTTTTTTTTTTGAAATAACAATGTTATAATGATTAAACGAAAAAAGTTTAAGGCATCAATCAACAGGAATCAATTGGAAAAAAGAAAAAAGAAATGGTTGGTTTTAAGTATAAAACTAGCCATAGATGCGCGCGTTTGCGCGCATTGCAGTAGAAAATAATTTTGTTTTTTAGAAGAAGTTAATAATTTGTATACAATATAAATAGATTATTTGTCTGTATTTATACATGAATATATACATAGGACATTGTTCTATGAAGTTATTTACAATAAATATATATATATATATACAAAATATATATTTATAACATATTGTCATATAAAATTATTTACAATATATATATATACAATTCTTTCTTCTTCTTTGCTGTCGTGTTCCTCTATTGTCAGTGAAGCTCTGTTGCCTTAGGGTTAGATCCTTTTCTCTTTTGATCTTCTACAATTTCTTGTTAAATTTTGTTGTAGAATTTTAGAACTTTAATTCTGATTTCTTAATTTTGGAGAGTCAAATTTTTGACTGGTTCCCAATTACGATTAAATTCTTCTCTTCCTTTATTTTTTATTTTTTTTTTTTTGCGCTTATCTTTTTTAATTTTCGTTTTAATTAAAATGATTTTTTCGGCCCAAGTTTGATCCTTTTCATTTCCTAGCAATTTTCTCGGCGACCAATTTTTTTGGCCCAAGTTTGATCCTTTTCATCCTGATTAAACGTGTTTTGGGCTTATCTTTTTCTGTTTCTTATTAAACTTAAGTTTTAATTAGTGATTTTTTTTTGCCCAATTTGATCCTCTTCATTTCCTTCTAATTTTCTCGGCAACCAATTTTTTGGCCCAAGTTTGATCCTTTTCATTCTAAATAAAGAGGTTTTTTCTTTCTCAAATTTTTACCTTGAATTACGGAATAAATGACGAAACCAGAAGACCAATTGCCCTTTTCAACGCTTTCAGTCTGTTGGGTTTCTGTTTTATTCTTCATTTTATGTAGATGAGGACCTTGTAGTGTAGAGACAGTCCATAAGTAGATTAAATAGTTGGGATTTTTTTTTTCTCTGGTGAAATCTCTGCTTTCTGAACCACAAAAAATGCCATCTGAAATAATGGAACAAAGAGGCGTACCCGCCTCCTCCCACTTCTTTGAAAAAATTTGTTTTCCTTCTAAGGTACTTGTTATTTTATGAAGTTCTCTTTTTTTTTTAATCCATATATATATATATATATATTTGTTTTTTTTATGAAGATCCTCTACACTAAAGTCTTGGAATAAGTAAAGGTGACAACACACAAAAGAGTAAAAAATCTAGACCAAAAATAAAAGACTATCAAGTGAATTGAAAGGGAGGAGATGAACAACACCAACAGAGCAATAAAAACTGTAATTTATGATAAGATTAAGTAAAGGAAGAAACAGAGCAATAAGAAAATGATGAAGAATGTTATGAGAGGACAAAAATAAGACAACAGAATATTTGTCTTTTTTCTAATAGTTTTTTTTCCCCTTCTATGAAACAGCAAAAATAAGATGGTGGAGTTAAAGCTCAACGTAAAAAAAGAAGCTCAAGACACCTATAAAGAGGTTTTCAATAAAACAGTCAATACGGAAAAAAATAATAATTCACCAAGCATCATGCACTAACTTAGGTTACAAAATTATATACGCATTGGGAGGAAATTGATAATCATGTGCAATTCTAGTGTGTCGTTCTATGGTGTTAGAATCTAATTGACAACATCAGTGACAGTTCACAGGTATGTCATTTTATATCATAATTTCATTGTGCAAGGCTTCTCTCTCATAATTCACACACACATGAGATAAGTAAAAATAGGAATATATATACACACATGTGAGTAAGAGATAAATAAGCAAGTCAGCATATAAATATCATATACTGAGCAAATACAGAGGAAAACCAAGACAGTTAATAAAGCAGCAAGTGAACACGTAAATATGATATACCTAGCAAATACAGAGGACAAAAAGGACAGGTAATAAAAGACAAACAACAGACATTAATAACCCCACAACAAACCAGTGCATTCAATATCAACAACATAAATGAGCAAGCTATGGATAGGAAGCCTCAAGAGTACCTCAAACGCTACAAATGATGTATTGAGTCTGAAATATCAGCCAACCAAACGTCACTAGGATAAAAGGATCAGAAAATAAATAATAGAGAATGAAGTGGAGCAGTAAATGATTGAAGGTAAAGTAAGGAAGCAAAAACAGGAGATGTAAGGGCAAGAAATAAGGACATGCATGATAAATCCACAGGCAGGCACATTTTTAAATACAGAAACAGAGAACTAATGAGCAGCCTATAACAAAATCCCACGTAGGAGCCCAAAGTCGGTGAGAAAAAACCAGAAGTTAAAATTTCCAAATTAGATAATAAAAAGTAAAATAATAACAATACAGAAAAGGAGAAAGATACCTATTTTTTAAACATTAATATAACAATTACCAACATTTTTTGGCCAAATTCTTTAAACGTTTCAGAAAATAGAAAAAAAAATCAATGATTCATTAAATACCTCTACAACAAAGTGAGCATAAGCCATCAATGTGGCAAGACAAATCAGTACCATAGACTTTACAGATCATCACCTCAATAAATATAGGCAACCAAAATCAAGATTAATCGGAAACAACATGGAAAATAGAAAAAAAAATCAAGGATTCATTAAATACCTCTGCAGCAAAGTGAGCATAAGCCATCAATGTGGCAAGACAAATCAGTACCATAGACTTTACAGATCGTCACCTCAATAAATATAGGCAACCAAAATCAAGATTAATCGGAATCAACACGAAACTACGCAGATAAGAACTCTTTTGTGAACAAAAGGACCAATCAAGAACAATAATAAACAGGTGTAAAGGAATTTCTCACAGACAGTATATACCAGCCAATTAGAAATTGGTTTCAGTCTTAAGAAACACAAAACAAATCCAAACAGATGAAGCACAAAAGCAAATAACGAAGAGAATAATGTAAGTAAACATTAAAACTAGGCAAAAGGGGAAAAAAAAGAAAAAAGAGGCCAAGCATCCAATCACTCAAAAACAGATAAAAACCCAAACCAAAACCGCGAATGAAGCGAGCCTAAAAGCAATCCAGGAAAATGAAAGAGACCTGCGCCAAAACCCAAATCAAACTTTAGTGAGCATTAAGAGGCCAAGCATCCAATCACTCAAAAACATATAAAAACCCAAACCAAAACCGCAAATGACACGAGCCTAGAAGCAATCCAGGAAAACGAAAGAGACCTGCGCCAAAAACCAAATCAAACTTTAGTGAGCATTAAAAAAAAATCAGAACAAATGAGATACAAAAGCAAGCCACAAATAAAAATGGCAGAACAATGTCGAAAAACACAAAATAAATCCAAACAGATGAAGCACAAAAACAAATAATGAAGAGAATAATGTAAGTAAACATTAAAACCAGTAAAAAAAAGAAAAAAAGAAAAAAGAGGCCAAGCATGTAGTCACTCAAGAACAGATAAAAACCCAAACCAAGATCACGAATGAATCGAGCCTAGAAGCAATCCAAGAAAACCGAAGAGGCCTGCACCAAAACCCAAATCAAACTTCAGTGAGCATTAAAAAAAATCAGAACAAATGAGACACAAAATCAAGCCACAAATAAAAATGACAGAACGATGTCGAAGAAAAAAGGGATAAAATCCCAAAATTTCCCCCAAAATCAAAGGAGAAAGACAAAGACAAAAAATGACTGAACATGCAATGCCCCAAAGTTGGACAAAAATCGAACCCAAAACCATAAATCAAGCGAGCACAGAACCAACCAAGGAAAACTCGACAGGCCCACGCCAACACCCACATAAATCAAAGACCGATCCAACAAAATCACACCAAAACCGCAAACAAAAATGCCCAAGCAGGATAGAGAAATCAAAATCACTAATCAAACCAGTATAGTGGCAAAGAAAGAAAATGCCGTAAGCCTCCGCCAAAGCCCAAATGAATCAGAGCACTGTAGACCAAAACCACCGGGGAAAATGAAAGCAAAGCCACTGATAAAACCACCGAAGAAGCCAAAACACAAATCGCACAAAGTAACACCATTTTATGTAAAATCAAATCTGCCAAAACGGGGCGACAAAAGCAGAGAAAATGAGGACATCGAAGAGGCAAGAAAGGCTAGGCCAAAGGAAACGAAAAAAAATGGCGAGGTAAAAAATGCTAAACCAAAAAACCCAAAGAAAAGAATAGCAAAAAAGTAAAAAAATGAGAAGAAATGAAAGAGGCGGAGGAAATGAGAGAGAGGAGGAAAAATTAGGGCTCCATCGAAGAACTGAAGAGGGAATCGAAGACAAAAGAAAAATTAGGCCCCTACCGGATGCAAAATTACCAAAAAACCAAAGCCCAAAAATCCAGAAAGGAGAAACAACGGGGGCAAAAGCGGAAAAGCAACCCATCACAAACGGGTTAAAAGACCAAACCACCCCTGCGCCAGACAAAGGAAGGAGCAGTAAATCGAGGGCAAAATGGTCATTTCACTGTAGAAGAAACAGTAAATTATGTCTGCGTGAACAGTAAACCCCAACTCTCTTTTAGTATATTTATAATGTGATGAGATGAGATGAGAACTAAGGGTGACAATTCGTGTTAACAGGTCGTGTTCGTGTCGTGTTGAGCCCATCAGTTGACACGAATAGGTCTGACACGAACACGACCCGTTTATTAATCGTGTCAAAATTATAAACCCAAACACGAGCTGTTTATTAGTGGGTTAACACGACACGACACGATTAACCCGTTTATTAAACAGGTCGTAAACGTGTCGTGTCAACCCGTTAATTACCTGTCAACACGTTTACGAAACAGGTCGTAAACGGGTCGTGTCAACCCGTTAATTACCTGTCAACACGTTTATGACCTGATTACTGTCAACACGTTTGAACCTATTTCATAACCTATTTCAGAACCTATTTCTGAATATGTTTCTCAACCTG